AAAGTAAGTACAGCAATTAGTATGTTTTGTTTAATTTAGTAAGTGACTATTCGTTATGGGCTTATTGTTGTGTTAACAGTATTTTTACTGTTTTTCTCATGTTTTTATAATTATCGTGAGACAGTACTAAATTAACTAAAAACCTCGGGTTACTCACGTCAATATATTGAGAAAAGCTCTACTAGTTTCAAGCCACACAGGGGCTCTTCCTCAAGCGCAGCGTGCGCGGTCGCGGCAATGTAGCCTATTGGCTAGCGTCGGCACTTGCGTTTGTATTGTTATTTGCGTAGTGAGCCCATCGCGCCCTCTGCCGGAAACCACGCGCATTTTCTTCCGACTCCGCCGGCGGGGTGGCGTTTGCGACGATGTTAAAACGCACGGTACGATCACCATGTTTTTGTCATGTTCTTGTTCATTGTTTTTCGTTTTCATAATTATTTCTCATAAACTATTTCTGTTTTCAGATAAACTAAAACATAAGTCTAGCATCTTCGAATTCCCTTTGAATCAGATTACATTTTGCCTTTCAACAGTTATCACTACAAACCTTCATTTGCTGATCTTAATGTAAAGAGACACTTTGAAATGTGTCTTTTAATAATTAATAAGTCCTTTTAAGTCTATCCTTGAATATCTCCTTTAACTCGAAGTCTACCGAACGGTTTATAAGATTATGACGTCACGAGGTCGAAACACGAAATATTGACGCGATTGCTCCTGAGATTTGAACATAAGCTACCGGCTCCTATTTTCCGACACATGTTATGATTTACGAAACACGCCACGTTGGCATATGATATGAAATGGCGTCCTATTATTTTGAATTTATAGTTAAGGGTACACGTTTTCGTTGGGGGATTGTGGATTTGGATTGCTGGGCGAATTGTTCCTAATTGTGAAGATTGTTTGAAGGTTGGCGAGTTTGCTTTGTATTGTGTGGTTTCACTCCCGTGTGTTAATGAAAAAAATATTTATGAATAGTCAAGTCTGTAGGTTAAATGAAGACCGTTGCCATTTTTCTTCAAACTTATCGCAGAATAATTTTAATTGTTGTATTTAATGTAGATGAGACGCTTTGTAGTTACCAAAACACTGATACACCACTTTAGAAATCTAATTAAGTCGCAAGTGCGATTATTATGCAAGAGGTCTCGGGTCCGATTCCCTGGTCAGGCAAAGTGTTACTGAACTGTTTTAAAATTCTCAGTACTAGCTCGAAGTTTGGAACTGTGCCTGGTATATGGTAATAGGCTCACCCCCTATTACATAGGACTCATAACATAATATAGTGAAAAGTGGGTGTTAAATTGTACAATGGCATAATGTGCACCCTCTGCCTACCCCTTTGGGGACAAAAGGCTGTTGATGATGATGTTATGAAATCAAGTTGAAAGGCCGAAACTAATATACAGCTTATCATATCTACTGGCTACATTCTGTGAAAAATTCCACTCGAAATGAACCTGTATTGTGGTATTGAATAAGATTTATGTACAGCAATGCAGTTTATTCAGATGTTTTTAATGCAACTAGAAACATGACACTCTAATGATGGGTAACACTTGGTTCTATTTTTTATGGAATAGGAGACTAACGAGCAGACGGATCACCCGATGGTAAGCGATCAGCGCCGCTCATGGACACCCGCAACACCAGAGGAGTAACAGGTGCGTTGCCGGCATTTTAAAAAAGAGTACGCTCTTTGCTTTTACTTCACACTTTTCTCGACATATTTACGTTTGAATACTGAATGGCAATTTAAACTGTCAAACACCGCGACGAAACCACCAGTGACCGCAACCTATTGTTCTTTAATTGTGTCTATAATGATGGTACTCAAAGAGTTAAAGTTGTACTTAAATATCGTGCCATCTCTGTCATTTTACATAGACTTTGTAGAGACAGAATAATACTTGAGCGCAACCCAAAATTCAGTAGCGTTTGAGTATTTGAGCATTAGTCTTTTTTTCGTCGTTTCGCAGTGTCGAGTGTTTTGACATTCATATCAAATTAAATTGCGTATTCTGTGATACGTGATTCGATGCCTTTAATATTGGTATCGAGAGTTTGCTAAGAAGTAGGATGATGGAACTTGAGAGGTAAATAAACTGTTTTTTGGGTAATAAATGGTGTTCTTCATACGTAAAACATTACATAAAAATGTTTGTGGATGATATACCATCAGTATGTCATTTTCTTACGTGTTAGTTTGATCTGAATATGGATGCAATAAAATCTAATTGAAGTTAATATAATATTTAATGCCACTGTACAATGTAACACCCATTTTTCACTATATATGTTATGAGTTCTATGTAATAGGGGGTGAGCCTATTGCCATATAACGAACACATTTCCAGACTCCGTGCTACTACTGAGATTTTTTTAAAGAATCCAGTAATACTTAGCCCTACGCGAGAATCAAACCCGAGACCTTTTGCCTGGCAGTCGCACTTGCGACCACTTGGCCAACGAGGCAGTCAAATAAAAAGTATGTGTAAGACAACAACAACATAACATCACGCCTTTTATCCCCGAAGGGGTAGGCAGAGGTGCACATTATGCCACTGTACAATGTAACACCCACTTTTCACTATTTATGTTATGAGTCCCATGTAATAGGGGGTGAGCCTATTGCCATATACCGGGCACAATTCCAGGCTCCGTGCTACCACTGAGAATTTTTTTTAAAAACCCAGTAATACTTTGCCCGACCCGGAAATCGAACCCGAGACCCCTTGCCCGGCAGTCGCACTTGCGACCACTCGGTCAACGAGGCAGTATGTGTAAGAATAATTTTATTTATTTATTTATTACTTCTTCACCAAAGGTATACACATACATCTTCTCTGACAGCATAGAATTAGTACTAAAGGATGATAGAAAATGAGAAATACATTAGCTAGTTTTTAAGTTGATTAGATTTTTTAAGTTACATTTATTCATACAATTATTAGTGTAATCTACTTAAACTATTACCTACCTACAAGATAACATTACCACAAAAAGCAAGTCTACAGATTTTAGTCCACAACACGACAAAAAGGCACCTGTTTATTTTCACAGCAATTTGTACCTTTTTTTCCTAAGTACACGGTCTATAATAATTCTTCACTTGATGTATTTACAATGTTCCCAGTCACGGGTAGTTTAGTACGAGTGCTGTAAAAACTCCCGAACAATATAAACTTTTACCTACAAATGCCTACATTTGGTAAAAACGGTGTTATTTGTTGCTTTTTATGATGTTACGTTGGTTTATTCAAGTTTTTTTATGACTGGTGCTGTTATGGTTGCTATTAGGCTCTGTTTTGCTTAACGCTAGCTGTCTGTATGAATGTGAACAGTATGCTTTTTTTTAGGTAGATATGTTTTTATACTGTTTCTAGGAGAAATGTTGTCGAATGCTCTAACCCTTAGAGATGATAGAGTAAAATCTTCATAACTTATTGCAAATTCATTAACAATAGCACAATACTAAATAATTCTCACACAAATGTAATTTCTTCAAACAAGTAGGTACTATACCCACATTTAAACGCAAAGTCCAATGTAATAAGGAGCTTATAGGCAATTTCTGGCTGCTACTGATAATACGGCATGACATTGAAATTTATTACGAAGGAAAATTACGGCATCACGTAGGTTTTCGTCAATTTAAAGGAAATTTTACCTTTACTTCACGTTGATTACCAAAAGAAATGGCTAGTAATAAATAAATGTGAACACAAAATACGTCACGCGTTTCCGATATATGTATGTGATAGAAACTAAATCACGTGCACAAAACTCCCTCTCTCGCTTTGAGACCTCTACTTAAACCACTGGAATACATACGTGAACAGATTTACTTTCAACCCAACCAACATTTAAAGCTTCCTTTAGAATTCTGTGAGCCTGGTACCAATGGATTGCTAACATGGCGGTGTCGCGTAAATACTCTTAAACGCATGCCCCTAATTTTACAACTAAGGCGAACTATACACGACGTGTTAGTTGACGAATGCATGAAACCTGCAAATATTAATAGGCGGTCTACAAAATATAACAAAAGTTTGCATCTTGCTTATGAACAATGAAAACAGTCAACGAAGCGGCAATATTGCGTCTCTCACTCCCCGGCCCTTGCTTTTTGTAGCTTGCATTCATTCGTCAAATGAAAATGACGAGAAGTGAATTCATAGTGACGTAATGTTGCCGCTTCGTGGATAGTTCTAATTGTTTCTAAGCAAGATATAAGTGACAAAAGTTTGCATATGCAGGCTGCCCACAGTCATTTTCTGGTTGCATGCATTCGTCATTTGGCGTGCCATAGACAGTAGGCCTAAGGCTAAATATTCCATACTAATACTCGTCGTATAAGTTCGTTTATAAACTTAATCTCTTTATTGTAAGTCTCTGTTTGTACCCATTGTTTAACTTTTCGCTCCCTGTCTTTATTAGAACAATGAGATGTTCGTTCGGCATAAATTACTTTGAAAATTACGATTTGAAAGCGATTCCTTGAAATGCTTCTTCAAATAGCTATCACGGCTAGTCCTAGACTTTTTGTGATACTTTCGTAGACTTTGATAACGAACTTTGCGATTTGTAATTTAGTTTCTTGAAGTACTTATTTGGTGAAGTTGAATTTTTTTGGAAAAGTTCAGTGTGGTATATTTAATATGTCGTGGTGGCCCGGAGGTTGACGCTTGGTTTTTAAGTGTGAGAGAGCCATGCTTCGGCACGAATGGGCCGGCTCGACCGGAGTAATAACCACGGCCTCACAAAAACCCGACGTGAAGCAACGCTTGCATTGTATTTCGTCGTGTGAGTGAGGTTACCGGAGGCCCAATTATCAGTTAATTGGGTAGTGATCAAACTCAATTTCACAGCACCTTCAACTTAACCTTTCACCCAAATACCTAAGTAAAGTCGTCGAATTCTCTGAATTTGAACTTCGTTTGTGTCAATAGCAACCACAATCTGCATTTGTTACTTCAGTAAAGTTCTCAGTTTACCTCGAACTCACCTGAAACAAGAACAAATAAGTTTATTAGAATATAATACAACAGATTATATATTTCTTAGGAATAAAACTACAATAATTTAATTGAACTCCTACTGAAGTTTTTGCAAGCATTGTTAAAAGTTACGTTGATGTTTAATGTACCTATTTCTTTTATTTTAAGTTTTAATTGTATGTATATCAGCCGAAGATAATGACTTTATACACTGCCTCATTGACGTATAACTGGGTTTTTAAAAAAAATTAGTAGTAGCACGGATTCTGGAATTGTGCCCGGTATATGGCAATAGGCTGACCCCCTATTACATGGGACTCATAACATAAATACTGAAAAGTGGGTGTTACTTCTGTGTGCACCTCTGCTTACCCCTTCGGGAATAAAAGGCGTGATGATATTATGAAATTACTATCCAAATATCAGACAGTAACCTAAAATCAATCTCCTATCAATTTGATAAGACGATGTGATGAGTTCATGATTAGAATGTAGGGCTTCATTCAAGGATCAAAATCTAATTGGTCGGTTTTGGAACAACCGCTAATATTACTATGTATAATTTCCAATGTATTTCAAGTTTGATTAATAGTATTAATATTGTTTGATCGAGATAAATAATTACCATGTTCCATTGTTCTAGAAAGGGTTGCGTAGGAACACTACAAGTGTTTATTACATTAAATTATATACATACATATTATATAACAATTATCTACTTATTTTAAACTTTAATTAAGCAATTCTTTTCTTCATTGATTTTCTTAAAATTTGGTATCTAGAGCGTTTCGGGGCGATAAATTGATCTAGCTAGGAACAGTCCTAGACTCTAGAGTCTAGACAGCTTGAAAATCTCGTTTTGTCTTTTTTTTTAAATAAAAATTCTTATTAAAATACGAACTAAAATGTCTCCAATACACATAAAGTTAAAATAGCTTAGTAGGAGAGCCAACGCCTGCTACGCAAGACATTGGAATTCAAACTTCTGTCAGAATGCTTATTTTTTTTTTTGTTTTCTATTATATTTATTTTGTTCTATATATATATATATATTTTAAATATAGTGGGTACTAAGAAAAACGCCGAGAAAACCTGGGTTATCCAGGTACTATAGCATTTAAGTATTCATTAGTGCTTCTACAAAGCAATTAGTAGCCTCTTCAAGGATATTCTTAAGATTTTTTGTTATATATTCACTGTGACCACACTGAGATTGGGTTCAGTGCGTGACGTCAAAGTCGAAATTACTGCTCTTAATACTTTCCTACTTATCTGCGTAGAAATACCAACCAAAGTGTAAATAATAAATATATCACACAAAACAATTAGAGGTATGCAAGAATCGTAGCAATTGATATTCCAAAGTCTCTGCCTACCCCCATGGGAGACAGGCGTGAGGTTGTATGTATGTAATTATTGTTTTACTAAAGCAAAATACACCGATGCAAATGAAACGCAATGTGATTACTTATGTATATATAAAGCAGTGCGCACACGAACCTATATAACAGGTAATTCATTATTATACGCTGAATTAAACAAGGCAAAAAATAATTATGTTGAGTGAATATTGGGAAATTATTAATGAAAGTAATGTAAAAGGCGTTCCATTGAAATCATAAATGGTTTCCGACGATTTTATGTAAATAAACATAATACCACACAATATAATTATGTGAAGTTTGTTGTTCCGATCGTGAATATGAATAACTTTTCAGTGAAATTAAAATAAAACTATATTATAAGAACTACGATTTTGACTAATGGATCAAAGTATTTCTTGAACGAATCGAAACGAGACGTAACGTAGAAATGGTAAATTATCAAAATAAAAAACATTTCTTGGGAATTCGCAATAAACCGTCTGCCAGAATACTGAATACCTATCATAAAAGTATCTACAGAAATCAATACCTACCACCACCTGTTACTCTGTAATTAATATCACATGAAAACAAGATGGAAACTTTAATATCCATTGAATAAAAATATTTTGTATCAAAAGCTACATTGTGTTCAAAAATGTTCAGTTAATATTGCCTGTGTATCATGATTGGCGCTTAATACCTTCATTGTACCATTCTTTGTGACGTTAAAATTTATGTATAGACTTATTATCTTTTTTTAACATTCATTGCTGTCAAGCTGAATGGGCAAACCCTTCAAATGCTAAAATGGGGGACCGCGAACGGGCACCGTTTAACAGGTCGCAGAAGCCCCATAACGTTCGCTCCACATCCAACTCTACTAATGTTTCAACCACATTCTGGCAGCGGCGGGTTAAATGAAAAATATCGGAGCTTTTTAACACCCGAGATGGCTTATGAAAACAAAAACCCTTTCTGCGAATTTTGATATCTAACCGCTGGTAAAAGGATTTTTTGACGCTGTGTAAAGCAGAACTGAGATTTAGATAGGTACCTATTTTCTTGAAATGTTCTTTAGGCTCTTCAGTTTTAGGTCTAAAATATTTTGGCTGTTCTCGTCTTTTATTTGAAGGAAAAACACAATTTTTGTGAGATATCATCTTACTTTAGTTCATAGCTTTTTTTTCTTACGCAATGTCTTACAGTTTGGGCGTGTACGTACATACATACACCCTCATTTCTCATTCGTAGAGGACAAACTCCATATGGTGCCGACGTTATTGCAGCGTGTACTTCATTCGATACCGTACAAACGTGCTCAAGAGCGGTTGAATTTGGTGCGGAAGTCCGTGTTGTAGCTGGTATATTAAGAAAGAATGAAAAGAGAAAAGATTTTCGGAAACTATCACATAAGGGTACCAAAACAAATTATTATAACCAATGAAAAAATGCTGCTAAATATAAGTTATTAACAAAAGCTAAGTAAGAACATATCTTAGTTAAGCAATAATAATCGTTATCACAGACTCTTAGCAAAACAAATTATCTGAACAAAAATATGGGAACATTAACTTCAGGTAGGAAATGTTCAGTATATCTAAATCATCGCGGAACGACTTCCTTATTCAATATTGGAACATAGGTTCCATGACATGTGGGTCTTTATAAATAAAACCAACTTCCCACTCGAGGAGATCCTTCAAGATTTACGATTAACCTCCAGTTAATACGTAGTTTCCATTCTGATCTTCGAATAAAGAGAAATTTATTGTTGCTTCTTATATTCCCGCGCGAGTTCAAGCAAGGGAAAAGAATAATTTGTCTGAAAAGACGGATAGTCTCCTTCTGCAATATGAGGTTAAGGTTTTAAAGGATTTCTATGGTTGAAAACATTTATGGTTTCATTATACCTATGGTATGATTGCCTCGTTGCCCGAGTGGTCGCAATCGCGACTGCCGGACAAGGGGTCTCGGGCTCGATTCCCGGGTCGGGCAAAGTATGAGTGGGTTTAAAAAAAATCTCGGTAGTAGCACGGAGTCTGGAATTGTGCCCGGTATATGGCAATAGGTTCACCTCCTATTGCATGGGACTCATAACATAAATAGTGAAAAGTGGGTGTTACATTGTACAGCGGCATAATGTGCACCTCTGCCTACCCCTTCGGGAATAAAAGGCGTGATGTTGTGTTATGTTATGTTATACCTTTGGCAACATTGATTATCAGTATTACTATGTAAACAGTATGTATTTGTTGATCTTACTTGAGATATTATAACTACCCTTTGCGAAGGGTAGATATACCTACCTTTAATTAAATGAAAAAGAAAAAACAATTTCAATAATGACTGCACAGTTAACCGCGGTGAATGTGAAACCGGCTTCCACGCAACGTGTAGCGGGTTCGTTTACCGCACGGGGCAACTTTTTGTGTAATCCACAAACTGTTGTTTCGGGTCTGGGTGTGATGTGTACGTGAACTTGTGTGTTATAAACGTAGACACGACAAAAGAGAAAATCCAAGTGTGGGGTAAAAAATCGATATAATGAAAAAAAGGCTTTTGTGGCTCCGAATTATTGCTGCAACTAATTTGAATTGTTCTTTCGCAAACAGAAATCAACCAATGAAGTAGTAGTTAAATAAATCTGGACCTATATTATTTATTGAAAAAAAAAATCATCCTATAATTACTTACGTCTACTACAAAAAGATCTAAAACCATTTGTAAATACATTGCCTTTCCCTAAATTAAAAAAAATGTGTCCACAAAGGCCAATTTCAAGTCACTTATTAGACGTGCTAGTGAAATATAGGGTGGGTACCCTGTACTCTAACTCTTGTGACCCGGAATACCCAATGGCAATTAACCAACAGCCTGAGGCCATAAAGCAAAGCCTCCAAAAAGTACTTATACCTCAGTATTTTACTAGAATCGGTCAATAGATTATTTTTTTGTTTGTGTTAATCAAACGAGGCTTTGAAAAGTTAATTGGAGTCTAGTTTGACGAAATATTTATGTACAGTCAACATAATCATTTAGTATGCAGGGTAGAAATATGCATGCAAATAAAGACTTTGAGTTTGAGTGTTGAGTTTGAAAATAAAGATTGATTCGCTGCCGAGACAGTAACCATTGGTTCGCTAATGAGCTGATCAATAGTTGCCAAGGCTTTGTTATAAAAATTAATGCATTTATTATAACGAGAGAAACTGTTTAAAGCTTTTTTTAAAAAGTCTCATGTCGGAATTCTCTCGGATTTGACTGGTGCGTTAGCAGCTCGCCACCCGACCAGAAGCAAACCCGAGCGTTAACGGCGCATCGCTTTCCGCGCGCGTTCGGTCAAAGAGCCGTCAGACCTCCACAGATGGGGCCCAATAGGGCTTATGTCGGTACGGAACCACAAAGTAGAAGGGTTTTTTTAAGGGGGGAGAATCATCGAATCACTGCTCCTGGGTGAGGTGAGAGGGAGTGTCAGACTCTTACTGACTAAAAACCACCCCGTTCCTACTTCTGCACGTCGAGCCGGAGCCCCGGTAACCCGTTAGGTTCTCCGCGTCAAAGTAGAAGGTCTAAGGAACGCCTCACCCAGGCAGGAGAAGCCAATCGATGATTATCCCCCCTTAGAAAAAAATAAGTGTTTCACTCGAGAATCTAACACGTAAAACAGCTGACTAGCCCGCTGAGTAACCACCACTCTGTCAACCAAGTCCAAATACTAAATAACTAGGCTGACTGTACGTTTGAATTTATTAGAAGGCATGAACAGTGTGTTTATATTTTGGTTTTGATTAACACGGCTCTTTAACAGGATCGTTCCTTGATTCCCCGAAGGACCAGTTAGAGGTGTAAAGCGTGTTCGCGTTTCGTTAGTAAAGTTATTATTCCCTTGTTGACTTATAACGTTGTGTAATTGGATATTTCAATAGATAGACAAATTGTTCACTCGTGTGTTTCTAACATAATATCACGCTTTTTATCTCCGAAGGGGTAGGCAGAGGTGCACATTATACCACTATACAATGTAACACCCACTTTTCACTATTTATGTAATGAGTCTCATGTAATAGGGGGTGAGCCTATAGCCATATACCGGACTCAAATCCAGACTCCGAATAATACTTTATCCGACCCGGGAATCGAACCTGAAACCCCTTGCCCAGCAGTCGCACTTGCGACCACTCGGCCAACGAGGCAGTGTATTTCTAATATGATTATAAGGGGTATTTTTACGTGTTTAAAATTGGTTAATGTGTCATTATTGATAATAA